ATATTTAAAGGATTTGCCACTGACGATTCAAACGCGAGTTCTGAGCAATGTGCTTGTTGTTTGTCATTTCTCCGATCACACATGCAGACATGGTTTTATGTTTACGCGGCGCGATACAACGCAATGCGTAAAAAGACAGTATAAGTCATTATAATCCGTAATTATGTATGCAACAAATGCAACAAATGCCTCGTTTATAATGGGTTTTAATGTTTTTGTCTCGTCGCTCCGGCCGGACCAGTATGTTAACGGACGCTCCTTCGTCGAATCCGCCGGCCGCGCCGTTCTCAAGCCAACCCGCCGGCGCTCACTCAAGCCGGCCTCTGCTCACTCTAGGCCGCTGGCCGCCGCTCACTCTAGGCCTCTGGCCTCCGCTCACTCTAGCCTGCCGTGTGTTTCATTGTGAAAGCAAAACAGGAGGGGCATAGAGGAAAAACAAATGTACTGTACAGTATGTGGAAAATAATGTGTTTTTTTTACCTTAAACTGCATAAACACATTTCATTACACCAGATACACAAAATAATGTTCTTTTTAGCAACATCATATGACCCCTTTAAACAAAATGTTTAACTACACCTTGTGCGTGCAATGTCTATTAATAAAATAACCATGTATTCCAAATCAGTTAACCTATAACAGCTGAACTGGGATCTGTATTTGTACCAGTGTTTGGGGTATTTTTTTTAGTCGTCTTCAGCTAATACAGCGATTCTTGTAGAATGTTTTCCCTGGCCGGCCTCCACATGAAGCTCTGAGGTAATAAAGATTGCTCTGAAATGGCTGAGTATCATGGCACTTTTGTAATTATGGAGGAAATCAAACTTTCCCCTGCTCTCTGTGGACTCTGCTGGGAGAAAAAAAAAACTCTGCAAACTCTAAAGTAATATAAGGGTGCATCTGGAAAGAAATTTAGGTTGAGTCCTCTTATAATGTCCCAGCATGCCTTCATTTAAAAGGAGACCAGGGTGTGTAATGTGCAATAATTCCCAAATGGCCCTTGGTTTAAAATTCACCAGCTAATGCATTAACAAAGAAGTAAAGCCACAATTTTCTTCATTAAACTGACAGAGCAGGATGAACAAAAGTAGCCATATTTAATCAAAACTTTTGCTGCTGTCTGCATCTGTTTAACAAGCACGCAATGCCATTTTGACACACTTGTTTTCTATTTTGTCACGTCAAAACATCTTTTGCTCACATCATTTGCAGACACGATGTAGCTTTGTATCTGAGTGAATGAAACTGATCCAAGGTCAGTAAAAAAAAATGGCACAATCTAGTTTGCGTAAATCAGTCACGCAAATGAATGCGGTTCTCCTTCAGTCACTGAAACTGAAAAGCCATGAGATTTGTCACTGAAATTCACTCATTGTAGCTGAAAACACACCACAAATAACACATGTGGCGTCAGTCGAGGAAACCGATGGGCTGCAGCACACCTCTTTAAGGCTTTCATCTCTGCTTTATCCTTTTACACCTCCACACAGCTATAGTATAGATCGTCCTTGACGACAGCATAAATCAAGCATCGCACCATAACTTAAGCCTGGGTTATGTGCCAGCAAACGCATAAACTTAATTAACTTGTACCTTACAAGGTGTGCGTGTGCACAGAACTGTAATGAAAACTTAATGCAAGACCAGAATTAGCCAGATGAACAGGTGAAACAGACGTGAACTGCAATAAAGAGACGAACGATGGAGAAATGAGGATGGTGGAAGTGTCAAAGGGGTACAGAAAGCCTAGTAAAGGTTTTTCATAGAGACATAGCTCAACAATGGACCTTGTATCCCTATGTGAAGTCGTAAGCAATTAGAGTAGAATGAAGTCACGAGAGGTTGTTACAGTGATTTTACCATAGTTAAAGGAATAGTTCACTCACAATGAAAACGTAATTTACTCATACATCCTCATGCTTTTCTAAACCCAAATAACCTGCATAAAGGTGATATAAAAATACTAAATATTAGAGAAAAATAAATTAATAAAAAATAATAATAAAATCAGAATGTAAAAAACTGTTTTGACAGGGGATCCAGAATAAAGCAATAGCGTACTAGCTTTTAGTGCAAAAGCACTATAAAGAAGTCAGATAAGACCAGGAACATGTATTAATAAAGTAATTAATATTACCATTAATTCCCCATAATGGTGTAAAGAACAACCTGGACTACTTTTTTGCAGCACATTACATGTATTAGCAATTTTAATCCCAAAAAAATTCCTCTGCTAAGGGAGTTCATTAGCTGAACTGTTTATGGCAAGCAAATGGGCATAATAATACAGAATTTTACTGATATGCAGTCTGTGCATCTCCGCTATTTTACATCAGCTTTGAATGTGGCATATCTAGTCAGATTACAGAGCCGGAAATCTGTTTCATAAAAATGCAATCACCCAAACTCTGCCAATAGATATAGATACGAAAAAAAGAAAAAAAAAAGATTATTCTTCCTGAGCTTCAAACCAAGTCAATTACAGCGTTACTTTGCTCATTTCTATTGTATCAATTTGCTCTGTGAAAATCATGGCTGTCGCAGGAAAACATTTCATTACTGTAACGATGGCACGATTCATCAAGCCCTCAACATGATCCATCACCGTATTATAAAAAGCCATCTGAGTTGCACAGATTTCATTGCAGAATATCCACCAGTTCATGGCTAACAGCTATGATAAAATGCGATAAGAAAACAAAAATGGAAAGAAAGGACAAATAACTGAGGGAGACAAAAGGAAAGCTGGGCAATTTGCTCAAGGTCACAGGATTCTAGAGCGGGCTGTGATTCAGTGGATGGACTCTCTAAGGAAGGACTACAAAAGATGGGGCGGGAGGAAGTCAGCTGCTTCTTGCCGAGCTGACATTTTTGATTAAGTCTTTCTTGGAGAAACGTTTAAATGGAAGTGCTTCCGCATGACAGTTTCATAGTTATTCATAGCACGCTTGTATGTTACATTTATCTCTATTCTTCGTATGCCGGGTCATTAATTTAATACATTATCTACAGCATTGTGTTGGAAAATAAGCTGTTTGTCCTCTGTAATCTCCATTCGTCCTTTCAGGATGACTTCCGCTGCATTTGACACACACCATCGGCCAGAGGTTTTGTCCTCCTGTGGATCATAGGGGAGTGCATGAGCCATGGAGATTAGCCCTCCACGCTCAATAGCCCTCAACTGCAATGTTAAAGTACTTCCAGGTCATTTCAGCAGTTTAAACGGATCATCTATAGTTTTTCATGCTATGATTGGCACACTCAGCATGGTAATGTTTTCCTAAATTCAACAGATAGAAGAGTATTAGTACTTTAACACTTTATATGGCTCTTGAGAGCCAAATGAGATCAATTTTATGGAAAATGTAGATAATACTGTTCAACGGCAAAACATATATGTAATTATAAATGATGGAATAATAATAATAATAATGATGGAATGATAAAAATGATGGAATAATAATAATTTAAAGATTGTGACACAGAATTTATTTGGAAATATATATATAAATCCTGCACATTACACAAACTTCATCATCACAAAATCTTATTTGCAACATTTCGGTCAATCAACCTACCTCAGACTCAAGCCTGTGGAAGGACAATTGACTGAAACATTGCAAATAAAATTTTGAATTTCGAAACATTACAAATAAAAATAAAAAAAACCCTGCAAACTACTCAAACTTGCATCATCACAAAATTGTATTTAAAACTTTTTTTAGTCAATCAACATTCCTTAACCTCAAGTGAATGCAAATAAAATTTAGTGATGCAAATTTGAGTATTTTATTTTTTATTTTTTTTGCATTTATATTGTAATTTTATCCAACGCACCTTGCGATGCACTTTTTATCTGACAAATTATTTACTAAAATAAACATTTTAAATACATGAATAAATACTAATAATGTAATAAATTACAGTAAAGTCCTTGTGAACCATAACAAACAAGAAATTCATGTGAAATTCATATCAGTTGCAGCATTTTGGATTTGATCTGCTCTCCTAGTATCACTTTTGCTTAAAGAATGCAACATATCATGGTGAATTATGTCTCTCATGTCACTTTTTTACTGTTATCTGTTTTGAGACCAGATGGCACCTGCAATTCCCATGCTTCCACTTTTCAAGTTATGAGAAACCTCCGCCACTCTTGCTCAGAGAAATATTAACACAGCAAGACGACAGAGCAATAAAGTCACAAATTAATATTCACAATAGGTTCTAATTAACACTATTACATTATTTCTCATTATGGCAAATGTGGAAGTGATGAGATAAATGATGAGATAAATAACTTGAAGTATCATCTTCCCACACAGACAGCTACTTTTCTGAAATGAATCAGTAAGATTTGGGGGGAGGGTCAGGTCAGAGCCCATATATTATAAACTTATAATGGGTCGAGGATAGACTTGTGCCGGTATTCGGTAGAGCGATACACTTTTTTTGAACTAAATTTCAACATCGTGATAATACAGCATACCGTGATAAAAGCATTAGCAATTAATCGCAACATGAAAATTTGATACCGGCATATCCCTAGTCGAGGATGACAGAGTGGCACAGAGCGGTGGTGTGAGTCAGTGCTGCACATGTCAGTTAGGGGAAATGGTTAAGCAAACCAATCTTCATCAAAGCAAAACAACTAAATGTTAGACTACACAATCAGACAGGCATCCCACTGCATTGCATCTCGCCGTTTCTTCAGTATTTCATAGTAAGAGCTCTGCCTTTTATATAGTTAGGAGTGAAAATTCCTTATTACATAATAAATAAAGGTCAGGGGGCCTGATTAAATGTGTTCATTTTTTGAACTTTTTTTATGTATTATTATTAATTGTACTAAACTGACACATTTAATTGACAACACTACAGGCAAAAACAGCATATAATCAAGCTCAAATGGCAATTTACAGTAGAAAAAAAAGAAAAAGAAAGAATTTGGTATAGTATTCTTACATAAATTGAAGACAAAATGTGTTTTACTGAGAAAAAACAAGATTTGGTTTTTAAAAAGACTTTTTCCAAAAGGTACATCTGGAAAAAGGGGGGTCGTCTTATAATCAGGGTCATCTTATATTCGGGCCAATACGGTATATATATCATGTGAGATCAGTGAGATTAAGTGTGTAGACTAATGATTTTATATCATGCAGGATATAGATTCTTGTATTAAATAAAATGTGTTTAATCAAAAATATGGTCAGGGGGCATGACTAAATGTGTTTTAAATGTGATAAAACATTTTTTTAAATAATGAATTGTACTAAATTGACACATTCAATTGACAGTCCTTTAATTTGGGCAAATCATTCTAACCTTTTCAAGGTAACGTCTTCAATGAGCTTTTTCACATATTCTTCACTCTCATCCGGATGCAGGCCACATCTGAAAGCAAAAACAAGCTAATTTGCTCATGCAAGTGGAGATGGCCTTCAGATTGGAAAAACAAGGCAATGAAGAAATGCTATGCATGTTAGATTAATAGCACTGGTCATCCGTAAACGCTTTCCAGTGCCGTAATTGGTATATGATTACATGCGTTCAGCCATGCTCAGATCCACAGTGACAGGTGCCTATTGGAGATGAAAAGAAATGAGGGATGAAGGAGGGGTAAACTGAAGGGGTAAGGACCAACGAGAGGCATCTCATTAACCACTGATAGCACTCGATGAGTGTGAAATTGCATTTTGTGAGGTGTCGGGGTGTGTTATGGCACTGATCTAATAACTGGCACGCTAAAACAACTCTGGCACATCGTAACGACCCGAATGTGACTCTTAGAGAGAGGACAAAAATGGGGATGATGTATGTTAGCATACTTTGACAGCACAACAACAGGAATAGATGAGTGGAGTGGCGCAGGGGCAGTTTTGACAGGGGAGGCAGAGGAACAATGCATCGGCCTATTACTGTCCTGTCAAAGCATAAAAACAAACAAACAAGTAAAAAAAAGCATGCAAATAAAAACAAGTGACTGAAAATAAAAGAAAAGAAAATAATAAAAGAAAATATGGGATAACTGTACTTTACTGTACTGACTTCTTTTTTTTTTTTTTTGCTGTTAAAGGTCTAATAATAAAAAAATAACTACAATCAAAAGCATCCTATCAAAAAAAAAACTCTTGAAATCAGTTCAATGTTTTTACCAAAGAAACTCCCCACTCCAAAGTCCACAGCAGCAGACCAGGGAACATAAAAGTACCCACACCTCACTATGAAGAGAGCAATAAATTAGGTAGCACAAATTATTCCACCAAAAAAACTATTCCATTCCAAAGAACCACTCCAATTCCTTTTTAAATAGACACTCCAGAGTGAACAAGCTTCTTGAGTATTGGATTTGCTGAAGCAGACAGTTGACCTGCACATTCCTGTGTCTTACTGCCTGAACAGTCATTCTGATACACAAAAAATAACTAACAATACTGCAGTTAAAAAATCTTATTATTCTATCTTACCTTATTAAAGGAATAGTTTGCCCAGACATGAAAAATGTTGTCATCATTTACTCACCCTCATGTTGTTTCAAACCTGTATGAATGTTGGTAACCAAACAGCTGTTGGTAGCCATTGACTTCCATAGTATTTTTTTTCCATACTATAAAAGTCAGTGGCTACCAGCAAGTGTTTGGTTACCAACATTGTTCAAAAAATCCTCTTTTGTGTTTTAATTTTTGTGAAAATTAAAATAAGTAAATGAGAACTGGGTGAACTGTCCCTTTAAAAAATCCATATGAATACATGCAAAAAGGAAATTAAATATTTTAATTTTAAGATATCTATGATTCTAATTATTTTATATCATGCAGGATATAAATATCACTTCACTCCTTTCTTGTATTATATAAAATGTGTTTAACCTAAAAATACCAAGGCACATATTGCTATATAAACAAAATGTGTTTCACAAACACATTCACAAACATCCCGAAAACAACTGTGATAGCAGACAACTATTGCACTGCATTGAATTCTTGGAAAGGACTCCATCATTGTCTCTGGAACGATGGGATTCCAACTACATGCAGGAATGCTGGGAAGTGCTTTCGTGTCTTTGTTGTGTGTTTGGTAGGATAACAAGATTACGTGTGACTCTTGGCAAATCTACCGCCTCCGAAGATTAGGCCAATTACTCTGTTGTCTGCAACGGCAGACAAGAAACAGAGAATATGACTGTTTCTATGGATCTTACGTGATGATGGGAGGGAAAGTCAATCTACTCTACAATAATGGCATTTTTTATAACAAAGGATGTTTGTTGTTTGTTTATGTGGTGGGTGTTGACATAGCTTCTTAGTACAGCCAAGGTTAAGAAAGTAAAATACTCGGCTGTTTACTTCAAGAGGCTGAAGGAAAAGAGAAAGAGAGATAAATGAAAGACTACAAGCTGCTAGGATGATAAAAGTGACACCTGAAGAGACTCAAAGCCACATAATCGCATTAAAACCTTACAACAAACTTAGCCGTTCTGTTTGGTATGCTACAGGCGGTGGGCTGAGCTGAAGCCAAAAGAGAACAGTAGTGCTTTGGACACTAACACTTTAAAATTAGTAAGTTAACACATGTATGTAGAATCATAAACCATGTAGCTAAACACAAGAGGCTTAATAACATACCAACTGGATATTTAATGGGCATTTTAAATAACCAAATCGATCTAGTACTTACTGTATATTTCCTTTTGTTTGTATAGACACTGATATATACAATGTGTAAACCAAAATGGTTGTATTTAACTCAGTTTTTTGAGGTTTTGCTGGCATTTCTGAGGCCCAAAATCAACAAAGAGCTTCTAAAACTTAATCCATTACATCAGTGGTGCCCAATCCAGCTCCTGTGGGCCAACATCCTGCAGAGTTTAGCTCCAACCTGCTCCAACACACCTGCCTGAAGGTTTGTAGTAATCCTCAAGACCTTGATTAGCTGGTTTAGGTGTGTTTAATTAGGATTGGAGCTGAACTCTAGAGAACATTGTCCCTCAAGCAGTAGGTTTAGATACCACTGCCTTACATACATATAAATGGAAATGATACAAATTTACAAATGTTGGAAAAACTAACTAAATTAAAGAGGTTTAAGTTGAAGTACTAAAAGTCTGTTCTAAATGAATTGTGAAGCCCAAATTATTAAATTCTGCCATACAAAAACTGCCAATGATTGTACTTTTATTAAAAGTCACATCTATAAATAAACTTGACATTAAAAAAGGTCTGTCTTGGACAAAGTTTCTTTATTTACTAATAGGCATGAGCTGTGCTGTGGAATCAGGAAATTCAATGAAATTAAATTTTCCCAAATAAACCTCCATCTTCCATCAAAAACAGAGCGTTTCATGCCATTAGATGAACCAATGATGCTGTGTTGAGCTGGTTGGGATGCTCAAATAAATAGAATGCTTTCATAAAGTGCAACAGTGGGGTTCTGAAAGTAAAAAATCCCACTCATTTTCTCAATAGGCAAATTGATTTTTAATGACAGACCTATTGTGAGCTATGAGGTTCTTAATTCGCTGGTATATGCTTTTTGTCTGATTTTCAAACACTTTTTGCTTCAAATCATTGTTTTTAATGTTGTGATTCACCATGTAGCTGATTGGTTTGGTTTATGGTTTATAACTCTTATAAACAAAGACTTTTTTTAAAATCCCTATGGGAAAAACGAAAGGGAAAAACATTTCCAGAACCAAGCCCACTGACAAAGTCTTGCTTATGCAATTCCCAACATAATATTCAGAGGCAACCACTATACTGACATATTAAAAAATGTCACACTTCAGTTTTAAGTGCACACATCGCACCTATACCTGTATAAAGTGGTAAACGATGGACAAATGCACATGGAAATCACAGAGCAGTAGCACATCAACCCTGTGTCTAACACTTCTTCATTTTGCCGTTCATCTGCAAAGCGTCTGGAACAGCAGGGGGTGGCTATGCCCCTGAGATTTGTGGCCACACTCGGTTGAGCAAAGACGACACACACGTAGTTGGCATACACAGAGTGCTGGGTGAAGCTCTAATGCGTCTCCATCCTCCCTCTCTCAATCAGTCCAGAACAAATATCTGATTCCATCAGATTAACAGCCTCAGTTTCGACAATTGCCACGCCGTGCCTTGGGAAGACCGAATTCATGCTTTGTGCGCCAATATTCGTTTCGCTACAACTGTGCCAATTCTATATGTCAAGCCTATTTGGTGGCATTAGAGGACACCCATGGAAGAAAAACCGGGAAAGCAAGCATGGAGAGAGAAGGGATACAAGTCAATGACGAAAAGAAAATCACCTTCCAAATTGTGGCCATCTCCATTTGAATGACCTCATCATGACAAGATGCACAAAGTTGGCACCAAACCCAGCTGGGACTGATAACAACTCCCTTCGAAATTACAGAGACAATCAATAACCTAGTCTGAGCATGCATAATTATTATGGCAGGGGACTAGAAGAAACACACAAGTCAAAAAGGGATCCTCAATTACCTACAGGCAATGGAGCGGGCGCCATGCTGTCAAATGATTGGTTTTCTCGGCAGCCCTGTGTATTGTACTGATCAACCAGGAACAACCAGGGGAGTCTCAGCACTGAATAAAAAGGCCATGAAGGTGACACTAACAACATGCTCTGTATATACTGCTATACACACCTCAAACACTAGACACTTCTATATAAAACTACACATTAAATGCACACTATTAGTGATTACAAAAGTACAGAAAGACTGAATGACTGACAAGTGGGTCTTTTCAAATGCTGCGTTCTTAATACATTCTTGACATGATATCAAAGTAAACACAGTTATATCTTAAGTGAATCTAAACAGAATTGATAAAAATGTGGTCACAAATTAGATCTGAAAGACTGCAAGAGCTAACATGCTGTCTATTATGTCATTCATAATATTCAAAGAAGGCTAATATTCTCAAGAGAAAAACACATCCTGCTCTTGGCTGGATAACGTCAACAGCTTTAATAAAGCCATACAGTCACATACTCAAAAAACTTCAAACAGTCTTTGTTCTATTGATAATAATGTGATTTGTTATAATAATGTGTCTTTGTTCTTTTTACTTGTCTTTTTCAAAGCTGTTTAGGCTACATGCCATTGTTTGAATGTATTTTTTATTCATTTCATTTGCATTAACTTTTTCCAAGTAGTTAAAGTTGTTAAACTTTAAAATAATTAAACTGTTAAATGCAGTATATATACACATGCATATACAGCACTCCTATTCTATGTCGATATCCATAATTATCACGATCAATTTCAAATCTTTCGTTCTTTCAAGTTTAAAGGCAGATTTTTGCTCCTAAGTGAAAGTTGTAAAAAAAAAAAGACCATTAATTGTGGTTTTAAACGACTCTTTAAGGTCAGAACATGACAAACACTTCAAGTTTTTGAATTCTTTACACTTTTCCAGTCATTTTTCCTTAACAAAATAAATATCTTAATAGAAAAATTAATTTCTTAGTTTCTGCATGTTCTAATGAGTGATATCGTTTCAAATCATGAAACAGGTTTGTGTTGCCTGACTTTGATGACGTGTATATTCAGCACAGTTTATAGTGCAGGCTGTAATATTAATAATATTACTTTTTTGTCTCAGAAATGCACATTTGACAGTAACTTGAGTTAGGATGCAGATATCAATTTACATTCATTATCGAAAACAGTAACATCTGTAAAAATTGTAACAACCTAATTTTTATGTGGTGAAATTTAATTATTCTGACTATTTGAGTTTTATTAACATAAACCATTGGTCTTCCATAGTAGCATACATTTACATCATGACAACCACAATTAAAACCACACATATAGCACCACAATACCATGGTAAAAATTTAACTATATGGTTTTTAGGTATTAGTATGAAAACAGTAGTCTAAATACATTTAGTATAAATGCACAAACGCTATAGCTTAATCACAAAAAATACTGTAATTAAATTCCATTACTCATTTAATACATGTCTACATTAATAATAAAATTCGATATGAATATCCCACTTTTCTGCCACCATACCATGGTGCAGTTAGTTTAACTACAGTAAATCCATGGTAAATGATGGCGATTTGTAGACTGAAAAGCCTTCTGACTGTATCGTTGCACACTGTGTTTCTCCCGTTTGTCAGCGCCGTTTCATCCAGCTTTAAATTAGTTTAAATCACTGAGTCATTTGTGTTCTTCGCTGAATTCAAGCACTTCACACTGGATCTCAAAGCACTGTTTAGTGATCGCATGAGCGAGACTTATCAGCGAGTAAACGCATAGATGCTCCAGTAAGCTTGCGCTGCACTGCCGTTTGAACTTTGAGCAGAGCGGATAAATGCTCTGTGTGGCTCGGTTCAAATGAATAGTGCTGTTTCGTTCCGCTTTTGGCACATAAATATTTTATCATATCAACATTTATCGAACTCTTGTTATCATTTTATCGAGGAAAATTATATCGCGATAATTATCGTTATCGTTCCATATATATGGGTTGTTGACGTGACTTGGCATTTTCACTGTCCCACAAGATAAAAATTTATATAATTAATATTGTCGTTATTTAAAATGCAGTGAATCATTAAACATTTCTTTGCCCTACATCAGGGTTCCTCAATAGGCGGCCCGCGGGCCACATCCGGCCCGTGAGAGAAAAAAGTTTGGCCCGCACTAATTTAAAATAATGTGGCATGAAAATTCAAACGCAGCATCAGAAAGCTACATTAACTTACATCGTGTCTACACCGGACGCGAGCAGCCCGGCGCGACGCAATAAAATACAA